CGCTCAGAGGGGAACGTGGGATACAACGAAACGATTTACAATATTATTGAATGGATTATCAATAATGACGAGCTCGGCAACACCTATGATGTTACACAAAGCAATTGCCATTTCTTTGCGTCCGAGTTGTATGAGGCTGTCGTTCGAAGCCGTGGAAAGCGGCTCGACGATAGAGATGCAAAAAGCAGAATTGGCCGGGATGATCGGTTGCGAATCGTTCGGCCTTTCTTACGCTCTTTATTTCAATCGTAATTTCAGTATTTCAATGGTTAGCGTATCCAGATCCATACATATTCCGTTATTATTACAACAATTTAAACTCAGATAGTATTCAGCTTCAAAATCCTAGTTTTTTTTGAGATTCGGATTGGATTTCTTGCTAAAAACTGCTTTTTCTTTATTCTCTTCGATTCAAATGTCTCTCGTTTTTCTTCTATTCTCTCAAAGTATTTACAGTACTCTTATAATTAACAATTGAATTAAATAATTCGTATTTATAGTCAAGTTAATTGTTTTTTCTATATGGGTTGATAGAATAAAATCTTCTTATCAAAACTTGCAGATCCACAGATCTCACAATGTTATTAGGTTGGAACATATGAAATTTCGGATACTTTTCCATGATATCTTTCATCTCACCATAGATCTTTTTAATTTTTTTGAAATGTTATATTAGAGAAATGAAACATATCATGTTTAAACTTTGAGAGTGTGGTGTGTCTGCGGTGTGTCTGCTCTGTTCTGTGGTGTGTCTGCTGAGAACAAGCAGCTCAAACAACTAAATCTTTATGTTATTCGCTAATTCGCTTACTACCATGAAATTGGCTTTAACTTTAGCATTTAACTGAGAATACTTAATACTTACTATACCCAAAATCTTAAATTAATCTGTGGTGGAATAACTTTTAACCTTAAAATTGGGTAAATGAACTGCCTGTGTGCCAGAAGGTTTACGACTGTGGATTTCCACAGAGAAAGTGTTCCCACGAAAGTGTTTTTCAGGTTAAAGTACATAAAAGTGAAAAGAATCCTTTTATTTACGTTAATTTCATTAGTCAACAATGTAATCTCCGTTGTTTTCTAAAACTTAAGCCCATCGATCTCAACAAAAACGCGTAAAGCATTTTTACGAGCAAGGGTGATCCCTGCGATAATATAATATCAAAAAATTAAAAAAGATCTATGGGGAGATGAAAGATATCGGTCACGGGAAAGTATCCGACATTTCAGATGTTCCAACTCAATAGAAAATGGAGAATCACTTTTCAACAATTTTCAGGATTTTCTTCTCAAATACTTAAAGCAAAAACTCATTGAGATTGATTTTTACTCAAAGTTAACAAGCAGTAAAATAAGGAGAAAATTCGAAAAGATTAACAAGCTTTCAATCTGTTTACAGACTAAAAAAGATGATTTCAAGTCACTTTCGTAAGCTCAACAAAAGAAAATTTATTTCGAAATCTCCTTTTCTCTTTTCCTCAGCTTTGCTGACTCATAGTTTCCCTATTTTCCAGTGTTCTCTCTTCTTTTTTCACTCATCACCCCTCAAACTCTGCTATTCTCAGAGAAAAAGAATATTTTTCAACTAAATTAATATTTTATTTGAATTTTTATTTCAAACCACTAATCTTTCTTCAAAATTTCTTCAAACAAATTGCTAAATGAGAAGAATCATCAACGCTTTTACAAACATTTCGCTTTTCGGACGAGAAGAGACAAAAAGCGGAGATGTGCTGCTGGAAAAGTTTGTTTTTTTACATTTCACTAGGTTTTTTAACATCTTTTCAAACTTTCCCACTTTCAGTGCGGTTAATTCACCAGATGAAACGGGAATTTGGCTGAAATTTGTGGTGATCTCCGATACGCATGAGGAAATGGCAAAAATTATGGTGAGTGGAGGTGAAGAAATGATTAGTATTGATGATCAGGGTTGGAAAAAGCGCCAAATTTAGGCCAGGGCTAAGCCCAGCCATCTTTGCGCAATTCTCGTAAATTCTAGGCCGAGCTAACTGTAGAATAAAGGCAAGATTTTCTAAGGTTTTACGCCAACTCTAACGATAGGATTGAAATTCCAGGTCAAGATCGATTGAAAGCCATTGGCTTTGACTTGGCTTGCCTTTGACCTGGGTTATGACTCAGCTTTGGTTTAGCATTTAGCTTTTATACCAAACCTGTTGATGACACATCCTGAATGCACAATGATTTTTTCTAAATATTGAGTGCGCCATAATTGTCGCAACAAGATAAAGTTCTGATTTTAAGGCAGACAAGAGTAAAAAAGACAAATTTTTACCTGAATAACATTTATTGTACATTAACAATTATAAATCAATTATCAAATTCGAATCGGCCACCATTAGCATTTGAGCAGGCTCGCAGGCGTTTCGGAAAGGCGTCAACGGTGGCGACCAAATAGGCTTGATCGAGCTCTTCCCACGCTTTCAACAGTCATTTCTTTAAGATTTCGATGTTTTTGTGAGGCTTTGAACAAGCTTTGGCTTCTAGAACCGATCACACTGTAAAATTCATTGGGTTGAGGTCTGGAGAACTAGATGGTCAATCAAAAAAGAAATGAAGTCCAGGAAGTTATTTTGGCAGAACCCTTGGACTTTCTTGGATTTGTGGGCCGGTGCGCCATCTTGCTGATAAGTTCAAATGCGAATTCCGAAATCTTTACGAGCCCCGGGGCAAGAGTTCAGCCTAGAGAAGAGCCAGGTAGCTATCGGAATAACGCGCGTGATACCTTTTTGCGACAATTATGACGCACCCTGTATAAGAGTTGTATGTGAGTGCTGTTTAAAATGTCTAATCTGTTTATTTCATTACAGAATCGAATCCCCGATGGTGACGTCCTCATTCACTGTGGAGATTTCACGAATCACGGTGATGAGGAAAGGGTACGAGAGTTCAACGATCAACTCGCACAATTGCCCCATCGACGGAAAGTGGTCATCGCGGGCAATCACGAGAACGGTTTCGATGCACAATTTTAGTAACTTCAATCAATTCAATTCAACTCAGTCCCTTTTCAGCGAAAAGGCAAAACTTTTGACGGCATGCGAACTGTTAAACGATACTTCTATTGAGGTTTGAAAAGGAAAAATTCATGTAAACCTTTATGAATGTAGATTGAGGGAATTAAACTCTACGGAAGCTCGTGGCATACAATGAACTATCGTCTTTTCTCAACTCCGCCTTTCTACTGTGAACCCGGAGAGGAGACTCGAGAGAAATGGGCGAAAATCCCCGACAATGTCGACATTCTCATCACACATCAACCACCAAAAGGTTTCACTTTTCCTAGATTTTATAGGTGAATTTTAAAGTAAATTTTCAGGTTTTCTAGATGGACGATATGGAGATGTTGAACTGTTGAAAGCGGTTGAAGCAAGAAATCCCAAGTAAATACGAAAAGCTAAACTTCAATTAGCAAAAGTGACTCTTTTTCAAAAGCAAAAGAAGATTATCTATTTAAGATTCTTTGTAAGAGTCTAAAAATTTAGACCAATTAAGCCCAAGTTTCAATTGGTAGAAACTAGGAAAAAATAAATAGCTCCAATCGATTCCCCGACCCCGAAAACCTGAATATTTTCTTTTGGGGCCATCCACAAATAGAAAAATCCCTGTGTAAAAGGTGTTCTTTGTGCAGCCGCATAATCGTCCTGGCATATCCCTTTGGTCTAAGCGCCTTTTGGAATCCTCAAAGTGGAAGCGGAGGTGGTCGGCTGAAGCCTCCCGCGCTTTGAGCGATCACTATGCCCAAATTCTTCGGATCAATTTTTGCTTTAAGTTTATCATTATTTTCTATAAATTCCCCCTCCCGTAGAATTCCCAAAAATTCATATCCTGCATCCGATTTTAAACCAGAATATTTAGATTTCATTGCTTCGGTCATGTTCATGGTGGTTACGGGGTGGCGAGCAACGGGAAAACGATTTTCATCAACGCAGCTCAATTCGAGGGTTTTTGGGGTATCTCCTCCACTCGTCCACCCATTGTTTTCTACTTTAAAGTGCCTGGTTCATAAAAAGAAAATAATCATTCAAGAAAAGAGAAATTTTTGAGCATTTATCTTTTGTTTTTTTCGAAAAGTAAACACTTCTTCAATGTCTGGTTTATTTCGAGAAATCTAATCAAGCCGGCACAGCGTCAAAAGCGATTTCCATTTTCCGCTCCGAGCTGGGCATAGCCACGCCAAGGCCAAGATTTTGTTCTTGTTCTTGTTTTGAACAAGAACAAAATTTTGTCCTTGTCTCTTACCAACCTCATCACCCAGCGGCAAAAATTTTCGAGGCATCCGACACAATCACCGTTTTGTCAAAGTGTCTAAATGTACTGCTTCCATTGGACAATGTGGAATGAACTGTTTGCTTTGTCGCTGATTTGCTTTCACCACAAAGTGAAACCACGCAAAATGTTAGTGAAATCGAAATCAAAATAAAATCAAGTTTGATCTCACGTATTTTTATACTTCTGTCTTTTAGATGACGGAAAAACGGATGAAGAAAGGCATGGAAAATTTTTCGCCGACAAAATTAGACAGGAAATTTGCGTTTGCTGCCGAAAAAGCCACAAGTAAAGGTTTAAAGTAAATAGATAAAAGCCTTCATTTATGACTTTGTATCACCTTTCTTGAATGTATCAATCATTTACAACTCATGAATTAATGAAGTTTCTATTTTAGGGTACAATGGTGTCAATAAACATTAAAATATATGTAGCTAAATCAGTCAAAGCTTGACTTTTAACCTGATTTGACTTGACTTGTACTTGACTGAGAAGATTGAGATTTTAAAAGTCTTTACTAACCAAACCAGTATTCGACCCATTACTAGGCAAGAATGTTTAAGTTTCTTGGAGTTACGAAGAAAGTTCTATTATTAGTAGCAAACAATGAGTTTTGAGTGTGCATTTGGTTCTTTATAGCAAAAAGGAAGCCCAAAATTTCTATGAATTTATTATCCTTTATTAGTCAATAAATACAATCGTAAATAATTTCACAGAGGAATTTGTCCAAAAGGGCAGAAAAAAGGTTGACAAGTGCCGTTTTGCTGGAAAGCTTTGGTTCAAAAGTTTCTTAATATTTCTTACTTGTTGCTGGGAAGGTGGAGTGAAAATTGATAGCAATTCGAATGCAGTACAACACACCTGTCCTGTTGAGCACTGTGTCTGGTTGTAGCATGAGAATGTTTCCTAAGATTTTCTGTAGAAAAGTTTTTTGCAGTTTTTTTACCTTCGGACTACCAGCCTCATTGTTCAGACAATTCGGATTAAATGTGCCCGACTAAAAAAAGGAATACAAGATGAGATATTGATTAGATTACCTCAAAAAGACATTGCAGAAGATTTTGTGGAGATACTGTTGACATGGTGGGCAATGTTGGAAAAGCTGGGAATGATGGGAAAGGTGGAAGTGATGGGAGTGAGAAAGATGGGAATGGGGGAAGGCTGGGGAAGGGAGGGAAAGTAAAAGAGGGGAATGTGGGGAAAGGAGGTAGAGTTGGAAATGGGAGAAGCGTCGGGGAAGCGTTCCCTTCTTCACCAGCCACTACAATTGGCTTCTCGCTTTCAGCCTGAAACCACCGTATTTATTTAAAATCTTTTTCGTGCCCTAATTACAATACACCAAAGTTTGCAAGGCCTCAAAAATGAGTAAGTTTGATAGGTTTGATTTATCTAGCTCCAAAGACAGCCTTCTAGCCTGTATCTAACAGTTAAAACACTTTGAAATCTTTAAAAGATTCAAGACTTTGTCATTATTCAACTTTAGGGTTGAAAAAATCCGAAACAAATGAAAAATTCCTCTAATAGTAAGAGTGGGAGTTCGAACATGAGTCTTGATCGTCTATTAGATTCGAACAGAAGTCTTGATCACCGATTAGGTCTGAACATAAGTCTTGATCGTCTATTAGATCCGAACATAAGTCTTGATCACTTTTTTCTATTTCTGTTTAGAAAAATAAAAAAGCTATCAAATAAACTATGATTTATTTCAAATAGAAAATGTTTCTTGCTTATTTTTCTAGCTTTTAAGCCAATTTTGATTAGCTTTTAACCAAGTCCGGGTCTAAAAACTAAATTTTTCATAAAATCCTTTAAAAAACCCCGTAAAAACGACTCATCTTTCCGTCAATTTTCTCAAGTTTTCAATGCTCTATTGATTTGCTCTAAAAACCGTTGATTAAAAGACGCATTATTCATTTCTAAAAAGAATTCTAAAAAAGGCGATCAAGAATTATGTTTTAACCTAATATTAGAGAGTTTACGTTAATAAATTCCCCGTTTCCTTTTACCTGTGATTGGCAACCTGCCGCTGTTTTTGAGCTGGATACGGGAGGAATTGATGTTTCCTCACTGATATCAATTGGATCATTGTTTTGCGTTGTTGGTGACAAATCAAGAGATGATTGAGCACTTGAAAACCCGCACTAAAGTTTAAGGTTCATGAAAAGTTAGGGGAAAATCTCTTACCGCAAAAGTTATGGCTAAAACGAGCGAAGAAAACATGAGGAAATAGCAATTTTTAAGGCTTTTTAAGGCTTATGATTGGCTTCAAAATTTCTGCCTTTTTATATCTCAACAAAGTTGATGTCGTGCTCGGCTGTATCTGTTTCTGAATATTTGTTTTTATTTAAATAGCTCTTTTTTCTTGTCTACTACTACAAAAGGTGTACAAATAGTGATTAAACAAACAAAAAAAAATTCTGTTTTTACGATTTCAACAAGACACAGGCAAAAAAAAAGAAAATTTTACCCACTTCACTTTAGACAAAGCAATTAGAGCAAACAAATTGTACAGTTTTGACTTTTCGTTGCAAAGAAAAGTGGACCCGACCAGGCAAGGCTAGAACCCAAACCTTGCCGCAGATCTAGTCTTGCTTTACTGCAGGTTCCTGGACCTTAAAATAAAATTCAGTAACAATTTATTCAAACGTATTTAGTATTTAGTCAATGTTTTTACACGGCAAACACCCCGGCATCCTTCGGACCAATTTGGACGACAATTTGTCGAATCACAATACTCATTTTGTCTGCACTCACCATTCGTGTAACAGATGCGCTGAAAATTACTGTTAAATCCCAGAATGCAGTACTCTGGAAAAAGTAATACTAAAAATCCCGAAATTGTGGTGATGTAGTTGTCAAAACCAACATTAATTTCGGTAGTTGTCGGTGTGGCGGCGGTGGTTGGCGGGATTGGAGCACAATAAGTCCCAGAACACACTTCTGTTGCCCAATTTAGTCGACACTTTTGTGGGCAATACTCGCCTGCAAGACAATCCGCATTTGTGTTGCACGAGCGCTAAAATGTTCAACTTATTTCGTGTTTATTCTTACTTTACAGTTACTTTCTAGATCATGAACAAGATTGCATAAAAGTAGGCCAATAATACTAGTCCAGTGGCTCTACAATATACTTCGAATTTTGTTTAAAACGAAATGAAGCTAGAGAAAGTTAAGAATGGCTACAAGAGTAGAGAGATACCGGTGGTGGTGATGAAGGAGTGATTGGTGTACAGTAACCAGAGCAAATCAGAACACCACGTACAAAGAAACACTTCGTATACGCACACTGGTTCCCTTTTCCACAACCGTTCCCAGTTTCCGGTTTTGCTGAGATACATTGTTGCTGAAAGTTTGTTAGTCAATAGTTGCATTTTTGATAGACATCATCTTTCGTTTAATCTGAATCATCTTTAGAACAGTTTTTCCCGAGATAACAGGCCTTACTATTAAGTCAAGTTTCAGTTTCAAAGCCTGAGACACTTTTGCTGCTTATACGAGGGTCTTTTTTATTAGAAAAATGCGATACTCAATTAAAAAGCATTCAAGATCAAGCCAATTGACTAAAGTTTTGTAATTAGTAAGCTAAAGTTCTACCGTAACACATTTATCTATATCTAATGAACATTAAAACTTACCCCAACTTCACCGAAAGCGCTGACGCCGAAGATGATGGTCAAAGAAAGCACAACTAGCTTGAACATTCTAAAGGTTTTTGTAAAAAAAACTGTTGTTAAACAATTATTAAAGAAAGTACACAGTTTATCTGCTTTCCAACAGCCCAAACTCTTTCCTTAAATATACTTTTCTTTGCTCAGTTACGTCAGAATTCCTCAGATCGCTTTTGAATTTTTCCAAGTACGAAAACGGTTTCCTCACATTCGACACACAAATTTTAAGGCGCTTAACAATTTTGTTTCTATTTTGGCCTTTCAAAAGCTAAAGCCTTCATTGTATTTTCTTGCCATTCTTATCAGATTTTTATTTCTAAAGATCGAGAATCATTTCTATTTCTTACATCAGTTTCACAATCTATTGGTTTAGGTTTCAAAAAGGAAAACCAAATTATAGAAATCGTAGACTCAATAAAATAAATAACTTCTTTCGATTCCCTGACCCCGAAAACCACCAATACAAATTTACAGCTGAGAATATCTTATTTTGGGACCATCTACAAAGCAAAAGAAAAATCCCTGTGTAAAAGTCTTTGTCTGACCGCGTGATCGCTCGCCATCTGGCAAACACGTTTGGTATACGGGCTTTCCTTTTGGAATCGCTGTGAAGCGGTGACTGACGGTGAAAGAAGCGGTGACTGGGCTTTTCCTTGGTACGCACCCAATCTGATCAATGAATCGTTTTCGGGATTCTGATTCGATTGAGCTTTCCCGAAATACAGAGGCTCTTTTAACCGAAGAAAACTATTAGTTACTTTAAGAAATCCACGAATCAAAGCGATATCATTCGAGATAAAAGAGAACGTCCCATCTTTTGACCAGCTGATTTTCGTGGTGCTCGGTCAGAAAACATTGCACATTTTACGATATTGCTGCTCCATTTTGACCGCTGAATCAATTGATTGGAGTAGCAAATAATGTTCAGTTCACAGTTCATCCATTCATGCTAATCAGCATGAGTGGATGAATCGTCAGGTGAATGAATGAAACAGCATGTAAGTTGTGTAAGTTTCAACCAATTAAACCCAAGTTCCAGTTGATAGACTCAATAAAATGAACAGCACCAATCGTTCCCCCAATCCCGAAAACCTCCGATTTCAAATTTTCAGCTCAATATCTTCTTTTTATACCATCTACAAAGTAAAAGAAAAATTCCTGTTTTAAAGGGTTAGATGGAGATTGAGTCTAAATCGGATATGACAGGCGATAAGCCTAAGTCTACGCTTTATAAAAGTTAATTGTGTTTACACAACAAAATATTGTTTTATGCTTACAATTATTGCTGTTGTGAATGTCATGATTATGACTAATGATCGCGAACACTAGCACAGCGGAAGTGAGGAAGGTCTTGTAGTGAAAACGTAAGTTGTTAACAAGTTGAAATGTTCTTTTAATCAACGTTCAATGTTCTTTTCTTCTTTTAATATCTTTGCAACAAAATAATCAACGAACAAGTACGAGATTTTAGCGTTCGAACCTTTCATAACTGAGAGCCATTCAAGAATTGCATTCTAGTCGGAATTCTTTATAAATTCCCGATCAAATTCATCAAAATTGATAATAGCTAGTGTCCGAAATGATGAATCTAAGACAAACTTTTAACTAAATAGCTCATGTTGGATTGATGTTTGTGAAATATTTTAACTTTTGCTTTTTCAAAAAATCCTCAAAATCTCTACAGTTCAAATTCTTAAGCTTTATCATTTTTTACTTTTAAGAATAACCTTTTTCAAGCAGCTAGGTGGATTTATTTCTTTAGACAATGTGATGCTTGTAAAGCTGTCAAGCACAAACTTTCTCCTCCCACTTCACACCAAAAAGAGCCCTACACAAAAGGCCAAATGACGGGGAAACGATTAGCGAATTTAAAAATGGCATCAAAGATTTAAAAAGCGTTGATTCAACGAAAAACCTACTTGCTTAAATCTTCAATTCCTATTTGAATCTAAGCTTTTGTTACGAATATTTGTATTCACCTTTCGCTATGATCAAAATCCCTTTGAAAAATTTACCCGAAGAGCTCAAAGATTTATCGTTACGCCAAATCGATTTCTTTGATGCATTAAATTTTCTCAAAACGGATAAAAAGTGCAGAAGTTTTCTTCTAAAAAATGGACCATTGCGGAAAATTCGCTCAATTTCTATTTTCTATTATCCGAAAATTGAAAAATCGACTTTTGAGATAGTGATTGCGCCAAAAAATGGAAAACAGATCGAAATCAGAGCAATGGATGGGATTTGGATAGACTCAAAAGGAGGCTTTGACATGAAGAATCCTTTCTTTATATTGAATTTACTCAATTCTTGTCAAACTCTAAAATTCTGGCATTGTCGATATGATGATGAAGTGAATGGAAATATTGAAAAAGATCTAGAAATATTTGCTCGAAAATTCTCCAATCTCCGAGCAGTTTCCTCATTCGAAATGGCGATTAACCTGTCTTTTGCTCAAAAATTCATCGATGATTTCTATTTGAATGTTGTTGAGAATTTTACTTTGGATTTTCGTGGAAAAGACATGAGCTCAACTCAATACGAAACAAATGCATATTCGATTGAAATAGAAGATTTCGAGAAAATCCTTTTCAAACCGAACATTCGATCAGCTAAAGTCAAGCAATTTTACACCCCGAAAAGTGAGATTCTTTACGAAGTGCTGAAGAAAATCAATACAGATTTGGTACTTTTCGATAAAAACTTTGATTTGGATGATTTCAAATGTTTAAAGTCGGTCTTAAAAGAAATCCCTAGTCAAAATCCTGATCGAAAAGCGATTCTGATTCAAGGGAAACTCTGTGAAAACGAAACTTTTGACGAAGTTTGTCAAAATGTTTGCAATTCAATCAATTCGCTTTTAAATGTTGAAGAATTGAGCTTTAATGACAATTCCCAAATCTATGATCAACTAAAGAAAGACTTTGATTTGAAATATTTTGAATATTTTGAGAAAATCTACCTTTCTCCGGAAACGATTGTTGATTTTCATGGAGAGAACAAGCGAAAGCTTTATCGATTGAAAAATTCGGCTGGGAAATTTGTTGTCCTTTATATTATGTTTATTTGTAATCGAGTCAGTTGGAAATTTATGGCTTTTATAAAAGAAATTTGATTCGTTTTTTCGAAGAATAAATATTGTTCAAGTAAAACTTCAGAAAATGTACACAAAGAGAAGAAATCAGATAATTCTTCAGGCGGGGTTCGAACCAGCGACCTCTGGCTCACTAGGAAAACGCTCTACGAATGAGCTACACCAACACGTATCCCTCAATCACGCTCAATTTACCTGAAATTTGAATTTTTTGTTTAATTATTAGAAAGTTTTCAGTAAAATTTCGGTATTTTTATGCATTTAGCATGATTTTTTTGTAATAGTTTTGCGAGATTTTTAGATTTTTAGATTATTTGACCCGTGACATCTCTGGCATGATCGTCCGCTCGAAATTGCTCTTTGTAAATTGACTCGGCACAATCAAATTGACGGGAATTTTCCTGTAAATTGAACTAATTTCTAAAAATAATTGATGAAAACCGTCTCAAAATTCTAAAAATCAAACGAAGCAAATAGCTTTTGTAGAGTTTTGATGTGAAAATGATATTGCAAGATGAGAGCTTTGTGTGCGTGTAGGCGATCGCAACGGTAAAGTTGAGAAAGGCTGGGTATTGATGAAAATTGAAAACTTGAGAACTTGTCAGACCTTGAGAAACGGAAACTTCTCCGACGACAATAGTTACCAATATGATCAAAGGAATGGCGATCGTTGTGATTGGAACCAAAATCTGAAACAGTAAAGCTTAAGGTTGTTGTATATATTCATCCAGTAGAAAGACGAGATTTAAAATCGAAATACAGTAGAAAGACAAGATTTCTACTTGCTAATCTAGTAAAAAATGACTTATAGTTGGACGGGTTGGGGCTGGGAATAGATGCACGGTGGCGGGGTTCGAACCAGCGACCGCTGACTTACCAGGGAAACACTCTACGAATGAGCTACACCAACACGTATCCCACTGCCGCTAGAGTAGGGCTTTATGGCTTTCTAAACAAAACTTACCCCTTGCGTCAATGTGTAGAGATATTTCCGATGTAAACTGATTGTTTTTTTGCTCATGTAGGAGCTCTTGTCGTTGAGAATGTGAAAGCAGTGCCAAATCGTGAGAATAGCCTGTAATGGTAAGTTTCCTTTGTTTCCTTAGTTTCGAGATTTTCCCTTATTCTTTTATTTTCAACTGGCTTACCGTCGGAATCAGATAAACAGCCATGCCCAATATAGCTGACACGAGTACTGTAATCGATGATACCATAATGTATGGTGGATAAAGAGGAGCATAATGAACACTGCAAATGTCTTGAAGAGTGCCGAGGTAAGCAAATGATGGATATTGCTGAAATGGACAAGGGAAATTCGACTATGACAGAGCTATGACTTCCAAAAACAGCAACAGCTTCAATTAGAGAATTTTTGCAAGTCAAGTTCTAGTTTTCACATAAGCTATAACGTATCTGATAGAGTTTTCATCGGAGATTCTGAATCTGGTTTTAGTTTTTCCGAAACGCTTCTGTAACGAGAGAAATTTGGAATACAAAATTTGGCCTTTTTCGGCTGTTTTACAAGTTTTTTCATTATTTCCTAACTGTACTTTGATGTCTTTTTGACATCAGAGTACTTCTCCGTACTCTCTTTTTGCGCCTAATTCGAATCCCTTCACTGCTCACTCTTTTTGCTTTTTTGTTTAATTGAATTCTAAATTTTAAAAATTCAAATTGCAAAGAAAATTTATATTTTGCTTTTTGCGTTCCAGAAAAACTAAAAGCAAATTCAGAATCTCCGATAAAACTCGATTAGATCGGCCAGGGCTTGACATCTTGTACTCGACTTGAAAAAATTCCCTAATAAGTTTACACAAGTCTAACTCTAACTGGTCAGTCTTACCCTGACTCTGGCTTCTCACTTTGGAATAAAGTTCCGAGACATTGAAACACCTACCTTAAGAATGTTCTGTAGATTTTCAGTCTCCGGCCCACAAACTATCGGAAATGCCAAAACTCCGCTGACGACCCATGTGTTCAAAATAATGTAATGAAGCACAATTATAACTCCAAAAGTGATAGGTTTAAATCTGAGCTTTCTATGATTTAGCAAAAGACTGAATTTACTTCAAAAAGCTGTCATTCCTCAACAAGAGCCAGTGTCGATATGCAAAACATTGATAGGCGCCAAGGATCATCGACGGAATCACGAAAGCCGCGGACACCTATGGTTTGTTGTTCGAATTCTACTTATAACAAACATCACTTACAATTAGTCCTCTCATGCTGAGGATTCCTGCACGATAAAATGGACCGTAGCATGTGGCCGAGAGAGTTGGAAAAAAGAATTCTGGCATTGCGCCGTGGATAACCATTTCGAATAAGATTGACCAAAACTGGAAACAAGTTGATGGTTGATGGCAGACAAGTTGATGGCTTTTATTGGTTTTGATTGATGAAGCTAGATTCAGGTCTGGTTGGACTTTGTTGGTCAGTCCGGCGGATCAGACTAACAATAAGACCTGACTTCTGGTTCTGGCCTGGTTCTGGCCTGGCCCTAGGCTTGCCTGGCTTGGCCCGGTAAAATTCTCATATCTCTACTCTACTCACATGATAAATAGCGAGATGCCAGCGATAAGTGCTCGCCAATTCCAGAGATACAGTCAGTATCACCCAAAGAGTAAAGAAGTTTATCAAAATCCCGAGAAAAAGAGATATATAAGCATAATCAATGTAAATATCAGGTCGTTCATAAACGATTATATTTGAGTTATTCATAAGTTTGAGAATGAAGATCAATAATATGGCTTGAATCATTTGCTCATTAAGTTGCTCGTTGTAGAAGGCAGGTGAAATGTTGTGTATTGAAAAATTTCTTTTCTTTGATTTGGAGGACAGAGATTTGACTTTTCGATAGCGAATATTAAATTAAAATTACGATTTATTTAAAAGTGAATAAACAAAAGTGTCAACTTTTTTTAATCTGTTTGGTGCTTGGAAACAATGGAAAGGCGGATGTTTTTGGAATAGCACTTGAAAGCATATCCAACAAAACAGTCATCGATACGATTTTAAAGTCCTTTCCAAGGATACTCAATTATATTATATTTGGTCAATGTTTATGCAATGACTAATCCATTTAAATTTCTCAGAGCAGCTTTTCTGTTTGGTTAGAATGAAGATTTTAACTGCTTTCGGCAGCTTTTTGATTAAATTACCCAGTTGTGATGACATCTTTAATGATGAAATGATAAAAGGATGAAACGTCAACAGATTTGTGGAATATTAAAATGTTCTTGTCCTGTTCATTGCATGTAAATGTAAAGAGAGATCAATTGAAGAATTTAATACAAAGAAATCTTTATTAATTAATTCCAAAACGATAAAAACACTATGAAACCAATCAAATTCAAGATTTGAAAGAAAATTAAGAGAAAGTAATTTCGATGTAGGATGCTGGTAATGAAACGAATCACTGTAGAAGTGAAACTAAAGAAATTTCGATTTTTCTTTCTTTTCAAATTATTTACCTGCTTGTTTTTAAAGTCTCTTTTTCAGTCTCAGACAATTTCTCATCTTGTTTCTGATCATGGTGCTTTTTGGGATTTGGTAAACAATGAAGAGTGATGACAACAGAAGCGAATGAAGTGATTGCCACGCAAAAAACGACATAGATTCCTGAAATTTATATAAATGGGAACGAATAATAAAGATGCAATTTTTCCAAGCCACGCAAACCTACCGTTTGCTGCAGGTTTGACCCATCAAACTTGTAAACTAGAGCCTGTTCTAGTTTAAACGAGTATTTCAACAAGCCAGGCTTGACTCGTTTACTTTAAAAAGTTGTTTAACAGGTATACAACTTTTGAAGGAAAGTTCACTCTCACCTAACAATGGAAAGACGGATGTTTTCGGAATAGCACTTGAAAGCATATCCAACAAAACAGTCATCGATACGAGACTTGTCAGACCAATCGTTAGCTGAAAGGTAAAGAGAAATGAGAAAAGATTTACATTTAGACTAAAACAATCTACGTGTCTAATTTTTTTTTACTTCAGTTTGTTTTTTACCTTAACAAGTTGCTCCTTTTTAATATTCGGTGTCCAGAACATGCCCACAATTGACAGAGTTGTCAGAATGAAACAAGGAGTGGCGATCACGTAAACATAGAAATTTGGTACTCTTCGAATGCTGAGCATATAACATAACTGAAGAAGATTGTTTAGGTTCAGAGCTTTTACTTACAATTTCCATTCCTCCCTGACTTGCGCTAAGTGATGAGATGTTCGTCACATCCCATTCACCGTTTCCCTGAAAGCTTTTTGGTACCGCGATTCCTCGACCCCGATAACGATAATTTACAACTGAATATCTTCTTGCGGGGCGATCACAAAGAAAAATAAAATCTCTGTGTTTGTGGTGTTCTTTATGCACCAGCGTATTCGCTAGCCGCCTGGCAAACCGCTCTGGTATAGGGTGCTTTACTTTTGCACCCTGAACCGACTTTCCCGTTATTGGCGTCACTATGCCGAAATTCCTTGGAAAAAACCTTTACCTTTTCCTCAAAACCTTTACCTTTGCCTAAACCTTTGCCTCAAATTTGGCTCTATTTTTGCTACAAAACCTGCCTCCTGCCAAACCATTGTGCTATTCAAACCGCACTCAAACTGAAAGAATAATGCGATCCGACTCCAGCGACTTGTCTTTCAATTTTCTCAGGACTCGTTAGTCTAATCAAAATCTATTTGGCATCATTTAAAAATCCTGAAGTTTTCATTAAAACCATAAAAAGTTAACATTAATATTCTTCCCAGACAAAGTTATGGACTTTCAAAGTGTGAATACTTTAAAAAATTCCTTTTGACTCTAAAAGTTCTTTTTTACGCTTTTGTTTTTTAACAGGTGCAACTGATTCTTTTCGAGCTATTAGATCAACATTATCATTGACCTATAATCAAGGATCTAGGGCTTAAAAACAAACCCAAGCCAAGAACTGCTTCGAGAACAGTACTCCAACCAGTCCATCAGTGGCCGGCAGATTCTGTAGGCTGAGATTTTGAGCACTTCTCGCCAAGATTTCAGCGGTCTGAGAAAATTTAGCACTTGAACAAATCAAGACTTATTTCAATCAAATACCTGCATTTGCTGCATCTGAAAGAGAAAAGGATCAATGCCGACACTCATCGAAATCGATCGTCTGAATGGGTTGGTCAATTGGATGCCTGATCAACACTTACACATCAAAAGCCAGTGACATTATCGGAATTGGGCAGAGTTGTTTGTCAAATGGGAAAGTGTTAATCTAAAAATGTTTCATGTCCTGATCTAAAATGATCTAGAAAAAAGTAAAAAATAATTTGTCAACAGTGTCAACGAATTAATGGAATAGTTTCCCTATTCAGCAAAGCTATTCGCAAAGCTAAATTTTCACTGAAGACTACCGAAAACTTACAATGATTGGACAAGCCACTTCAGTGTAATAGAACACAGGGAAGTAGACGGTGCCGTTGCTAGAGATTTGCACAGATCTCATCGCCTCTCCAGCTTTTACCGAATCAAGTGTTTTACTAAATAAATTCATGATTCTTTGAAGGCTCAAAGCCTGGTATTTTGGTGGTTGGGAGGAGCCACTTTTGACTTCTTTAGTCGAATCTAGCGTTTTGAACGATTCGTGCCGATACTTCTGAAGAAAGAGATATATGCTGAAGCAATTGATGCTATTTTAAGCACGTTTTTGATAATCCTATTCGATGATTTGTCCTGGTTAGCCTGCTGTACTTTAACCACCGAACCTTATCTCAAAGCTGATTGCACTTGGAAAGCTGCAATACTAATTTAAAATATGTTGGAAATACTCTAAAATTTAGCACTAATCGCTTCATCATATATAATTATCCCGGAATAGAAGAAAAGTAGCGACACAAATCGCTTAAAACATTAGATTCGACGAAGCCAAGCCAAAAGTCCCAGCTGGCTATTATTTGTTTTTTTTTACTAACTATAAGCTATAAAACTAACGCATTCCCTATTTGACAGTCTGGAATCCACATGATCTCCGTCGAGACGAAAAGATAATCGGTTCCATTGAAATTTGTTGGATCCCAGACAAGTCTCGGGTCTCGCCAATACTATATTCAATATTGCTTTCAAAAGTTTTCTTGATGCTAACATACCATTTTCAATTCGAGGTTTACACTCAAGAGTTGGCTCTCTGCATCGAGTGAGACCAGTTTTATGTAAAAAAGATCAAAATGCACTTGCAATTTGTTCGCTGAAATTGGTTTTTCTCCGAATTTTAAGTAAAATATGACCAGTTCCGTTTTCGCCAGTTTTCCCATTAAATGGAAACAAGTAACGATTGTAGTTTCTCTTCGTAAAAAGTTCATTATACAAGTTGTTCGCATCATTCATGTGTGATTTGTATTCTTCTGCAACTTTTAAAGTTAAACTCTTTTTCAGACACTTTCGATGAAAATTTGTATTTTTATTTGTAATTTGTAATTTGCACTTTAAGTTATACTATTGGGTTGGTGAATTGAAAACTGCCGGCTATTGTCATATGTGACAGTTTGTGCACTTTCTTCAAAAGAAACCCATTTTGGTGTCAATTGAAAAGTTGTAGAGAATCAAAAATTAAGCTTATATGCAAATTTTCAGAACGATTCAAAAACTGGTTTTCAAGAAATGCCAAATTTACGAATTTTCATAAAACTTGCATTTTAAGCGAAACTACTAAGTGAATCTTTTTGGAAATTTGGATATAAGCCTAATTTCTGATTCTCTACAACTTTTCTATTGATACCAAAATGGGTTTCTTTTGAAGAAAGTGCTCAAACCGGGACATCTCCAGTCCTCCATTTTTGAGTCTCACACTTGTCTCACACACAAACCAAAATCCTACTACGAAAGAGGAATCCGCAAATTGCCTGTAAAATGGGCAGAAGTCGTCAATAATAATGGAAATTATTTGGAATGAATTGATGGTTTTATGTTGAATAAATTTTAGTTCAAAGTCCCGCAGTTTTCATTTCACCAACCCAATAGATTCTAGGGTTTCTAAGGCCAATCTGATCAGAGCCCGGCTAAAATACAAGTTCTTGCCTGGCTTCTGGTGGGTCCAGAGACTCTTTCATTGACATTGACAGTTTAGTTTTGGAAATCATGCACTACCTGGACTTGCAGTATCGTAGTCAAAGTCAAATTGAGCATCAAGGAATTTAGCGAAATAAATCAAACAAAAATAAAATGTATTCATTGGGCTTTGATAACTCCAGTGAATACAATGAAAGTGAATGGTTAACTTTTTGATTCACAGCTGAAATTTGAGAATCACTTGGTTCTTTGGTCCCTTTTTCGCCTCCACTTGAATCAAGTCAAATAAATGGCATGGGAATATGAAATGACCGTTGAACACTCAAAAGATAAACAAGAAAAGAATTGAATTTAAAGTAAATAGTAATAGTTATGATTTGATCCCATTATCACGTTCAAAGTTTCATTCATAAAGCAAAACTTTACTCATGAAATAGTTGTTTTGTAATGTGTTTTGGTGGATAATTTGCAAAAGCTCGAGTAATTTTTCTTATAGATTGAAATCAGAATTAAGTAAATCGGATAAAATCTAAAAGTGAGCTTATTTTCCTTTGTTTTGCATTATTGTTTCTTTGAAGTTAAAAGTTTGGGTACTTGTCGGTTATACATCCACACAAACTCATCTCGGTTAAGCAAGGGTCAGCTCCTTGTGAGCGGTGATGTTCAGTGAAGTAGAGTGCTCACCTGAAGTGATCAGTCGATCAGTTGAACGAGAATGGATAACCGAAAAGATTCGCATGGAGATGCCCAACCGAGATGAGTCTCTGTGGAAAACCGACAAATACCAAAGTTTGTTTTCTTTGTGTTTTAAAGTTTTAAAGGCGAAAAGTTTATTTAATTTCAACGTTCTAAACAATTTAAATAAATAATTTAAGAGAATTTCTAAAAGAAAAACATAATCTTCTTTACGAACTTGTAAAAACTTCTAAATTGCAATCATTCTCACGAATTCCTCATAGTTCACGTATCCATCTTGGTTGACATCAGCTCTACCGAGCATCTCGTCCGCCTGGAAATGATTCGATTTAGTGATTCTCTTTCTTTTACCTCATCATCAGACAAGTTCATCCCGGTCTCACCCATCAGATTGCGCAACTCGTTCCGCGAAATGTATCCACTTTGATCTCGATCTGCTTCTTGACAAGCTCGGAAGAGACAATCGATTTGGCCTTGTGTCAGAGCTGATATCACTCTGGAAAACATTGAAATAAACTGATCAAAACCGCAAAGGACTCAAAGTAATAGTGAAAAGTTGATTCTTTCTAATGACAATCCTTAGAAAACTTAGAAAAGCTGAAGTGCCAAAAGGAAATCTTTAAAGAAAGACAATTCTTGAAAAAATGGGAATGAGTCTTTTAAAAAAAACGTGCTCGCTTAAAATTGCAAGACTTTCGCCTCCACTCTTCTGTTTCTTTTGCATAATTTTTGAAAAACGAATTGTTTCAGGAAATGCTTACATAGAAACAACAGTCTTTTCAACGAAATTTGTCTTTTACAAGTTGAAAAGCAGAAAAAAAATCAATCGAACGAACTTGGTTTTACCTTGGTTCTGGTAGCCTGTATACTTCACAGTTAGATTTTTATTATATTTTAAAATTTAGGCTTTTATTTTGAGACTCACAAATCTATATCCTACATATAGAGACAAATGAAAGAAATCCAAAATTAACCTTCGATTTGATCCTTTATAAGTAGTCTTTTCGTTTGCCGCCTATGCTCAACAAAGCAAAAAAAATCCTCAAACTACTTCTTTTCGTCTTTGGGAGCAGCCGAAGTTTAAAGATCGACTTTCAAATCTTGATTTTCAACTTTCGAACGTTTGTTTCAAATTGAGAAAATACTTTGAAGGACGTTTTAGGAACAGTTTTGTCTGATAAATTTACGGACGAATGTATGGTGGCATCGGATGTGTGCAATCCGAACGCTGGCCCTAAACCAGATACAATCTCGTTGATTTCTTTTGACGAGGTGAAATTATAAAATGATGACTAGAGTGAGTATTGTTCAGATTGATAGTTCAGATTTGCGGATTTCCAAAAAGCTCGAGGCTTCGGAGGACAAAGTTTCGCCAAGGCCGAAAAAAAAAGAACGAGTTCCGAAGCCAGAA